TTCAAAATGTAAATATGGCTACAGCTATACAGAAGGCTCTCTCTACTGATGGGTTTCCGGGTCCCACACTGCCAAGGCTGAGAAGAAAGCAGTGTTCCTTTCTTTGGACACTTGAGAGGGGCTCTGAGCAGGCTAATGAGCTCTGGCACTTGGGGTGTTGGGGGAGGCATGGCGCCTACCCTGGCCCTCTACTAGGCCCCAGCTAGGGAAGGGGAGTGTGTTGCCTAGCAACCTGGAGGCCTGATGAGGCTTCCCACTGTGCCCTGGTTTCCCTGGAATGGGGCATGCATGCGGAGATTGTTAGAGTGCAGAGGCTATTGAAAAAAAAGAGAGAAAGAAAACACCACGCCTCCACTCAAAATAACTTCCTGGGTTCTAAAAATGGAATCTGCTTAGTAGTAACATTTCCCTCTTTCCCTCTCCAGTAGTAAAATTTCTCACCCTCCCAGGCACTGTAGGTTTGTACCTGGCCCCAGGGGAGATCTCCATTAATGGGAATTTCTACCTACTGTAAGCCCCTTGGTGAACCACCTGTGTGGAGGTTGACAGTCCCTTGCACAACAGGTTTGCCATCTAACCACAGACCTTTCTTCCCCAAAGGAGTAAGGTTTTTGCCTGCCCTGATATTGGGCTATAAAATAATATAATAATAATAATAATTAATAATGCGAAGTTTTTATATAGCTCTTATAACATGTCAAGGACTGCCCTAAGCACTTTATATGAACTCACACACTTATTACAACTATCCTCTGAGGTAGATATTATTATTACCTTTACTTTTTGTTATTTGAGGTAAGGTTGCACTATACAGCCACAGCCTCAAAGGTGTGGTCCTCCTGCTTCAGCCTCTGGAATGCTGAAATTATAGATGTGAGCAACTTGCCTGGCTCCTGCTTTCATCTTACAGATTGGAAATCTGAGGCACAGAGAGGTCAGGAATTTGCTTAAAGGCACACAGCTGTCAAGTAGATGAGCTGGGGTTTGAATCCAGGCTGTAGTGCCCCAAGGTCTGTGCTCTTATCTTCTGTACTATGTTGGTTGGTTGTAGTGGGTGAGCGTAGAGGCTTTTTATCTGTCCAAAGTGAGCTATCCTGGGAAGTGACCTAGCGGAGGGATGGGCCTGTCTGTAGGAGGGTCCTTTAGCAATTTTATAGTCAGCAGGACCTGGAAAGGTCTCCTAGAAGTACATGCCTTACCTCAGTACCATCTGTAGTCTTTTACTGTCAGGGCCTTTACAAGTCTGTGAGTGAGCTGCAGAATGATCCTTTAGTTTCTGTACTGACTTTGGGTTGGGTCAGAAGGAATCTATATAAAGTCCTCAAGCCTAAGAATAGGGCAAGCCTTGGTCCATCCGTCATGGGTGGGCAAGGGAGTGAGTCAATAGTCATGCAAGCTGAGAGCAGCTTCTGGGTGCTGAGACAGAGCACAGCCAAGCAGCTTCAGTCCTTTCCTTTCCCTGGAGAGGGGACGGAACAGGAGGAGGAAGACACCCCCGACCCCCAGCAACACACCCACACCATGGCCCTTGGTAAAGTGTTCAGGCATCCTTGCTGTCTACACTTTTTCCTGCTGGAATGGTGAGGTGAGTGTTGGCATGAAGGGAGCCTGGAGCTCAGGCGGAGAACACATGAAAGGCTGTCTGCTGAGTTGCCTTTGTAACAGGGTAGTGAACTCCATCCAGCTCTGAAAGCTCCATAGCCTTGTGGGCTTGCTTGCTCTTGCAGCAAAGGAAAGGATAAAAACCACACACTTCTCCCAGAGACTACAGGCCAGCTGGGGGAAAGTCCTTAGAAGAGCAGTGGCCTGGCCCCGAGGAGCTTATCAGTGAGGGTTCTATGCCCTGGATTTAGAAGGGCAGATGCTGGGAGCCTTCAGAGAGAAAGGACCCAGTGAAGGGCTGCCAACTGGCAGCTCTGGTTTAAACAGGCTTGCACTTTTTTTTTTTCCCTCTAGCAAAAATAGCACACTTAAAAAAATATCCTGAGTGCTATGGGCAAGAGAGGATGGCTCTACTCTCCCTCCTCCATCACAGTCCACCCTCCCCATTGCCTTTTGCATGGCTGGGCACTACAGGCTCATGAGCTGGCCGATTCTGCCTTTAGGAACTCTGGACCAGTGGGACTGGATGTCTTAGGGGCCAAGATGATTGCAGCTCCCAGTCCTAGCCCCACCCAGGTGTCAGCAAGACTGAGTGGAGATACCAGGGTAGGGGTGGAATAGGGGGATGGGTGTGGGGGGTTGGAAATGATGGGTATGCACCCCTTCTCTCCCAGAGATGAGAGCTTCAGGTTCAGCCCGGCTGGAGCTGCTGTTGTCGTCTCTCTGTCCTGGCATCCCCTACCCTCTCTTTCCCTAGAGAGGGTCAGAGCAGAGGAGGCAGTGAGTGAGTCTGCTAGGACTGTGGAGGAAGCTGAGGGCTGGGTGTACCCTGGCCAGCAGCCCAGGATGCCTGAGCATGTTATGAAAAGATTATGTCTGCTCCAGTCTGCTTTTTGGGCAAAAGTACCTAGTGTTGTCCTTGCCCTGTGGCCTTTGCCTGGGCACTGGGTCCCCTTTTGCTGGGCTCTGCTCTGTCCCTTTGGCAAGGTAGATTCAGTTGGTCCTGAGCACAGGCATTCAGGTTTTGTAGCAGCCACTACAAGGTGATTGTTGTGATTTCCATTCACACACCCTTTTGCTGTGGGACAGCAGAGTTGTATTCATCCTCAGAGCAGTATCCCAGCTTTTCATGGTAAGCTGAGCCTATGTTTTTTGAACCCATTCGGCCTCCCTCTGCAGTGAGGCCCATGGGAGCTGGTCATGGGGTGTGTATGAGACACAGCTCAGTCTGAAGAGAAATTCCTCCCCAGTGTTCCTCCCTAGACCATGGTTTTGAGGAACCCAAGCTGTTATGGAACACTTTGGCCTTTGTGAGACCAGGAGTCTGGGACATCAAGCCATCATGGCCCCAGGCCACCTCACCGGCACCAGCTTCACCAGCCAGAAGGAAATGAAGCAGACAGGTGTGCTCAGTAGAGAAAGAGACAGGCTTCCGGATTCTGAGGAGCACAAGAGGAAGGTGGACAGAGGTCAAGGGCTAGGAGCCTGGGTGTCTGGGTAGTGGGTAACACTCCCAGGCTGGCCAAGATGGCCTTTCTTCTTCTCTGTGGCTGGTGGAGTCAGAGGAACCCATGACTCCTGCCATAGCCCTTGGAGGTATGTGGGCCCCATCTTGCCACACAGCCCAGACAGATGCAGCTTGAGGAGGAGGTACAACCTATCCAGGGTCTTTCAGGCTGAGGAGGAAGGGCTGACTTTCACTGAATATTTCTCTCTCTCCTTAGCTGTGTACCTGACCACTTTGGGGACATCATTATTAGCCAACTTCAGAAATGTGAATACCAGGACTCAGGGAAAAGGTCTTGTCCAGGGTCAGCTTCGGGAACCAAATGGAGTCAGAGAAACTGCTTTTCCTACCTTTTCTCTCTTAGCTTCTCACTGACCCCTTAGACATTTGGGGTGGTCTCTGGGCCCAAGGAACCAGTAGCCTGCTTTCATCCTCTTTAATTTCAGGATTCCTTCTGTAGCCAAGTCACAAGCCTCAACCATGGGGACCCAGGAGATTTGCCCTCTGTCTTTGGCCTGGGCCTCCTTAGTGCTCTTTAAAGAGGAGAAGGGAGAGGATAAGGTGGTTGGGGAGTCTTGGGGGAGGGCTCCAAGTCAGCCTCCACCTCAGGCTAACCTCCAGGAGACTCCTATTTCATGACCTTAGTGAGGTAGGGATGGGTAAGGAGGGAGGGGTTGGTCAGAGCTGCAGCTAAATCAGCATGGCCAGACGCTGCATTTTTCTTGGGGTGGGGTGGGAGTTAAAATCCAGATGACATGCCTTTTCTATAGTCTTGCATCCCTCAAGACTTCCACAGCCTTGTCTCTGCCACTTCACACCCAGCCTACCAATGGCAGGCCCAGAGGAGAGCCTAGGTCCTCCAGTCTGTCACAAGGCCTGCTGGACTCCTGAAACTGTGCTAGGGTGCAGTGTTCCTACCTGCCCTAGAGTGGGCTTGCTCTTTGAGGAACAGTGGGAAACATCATAACTGCTAGAAGGTCGGGCAGAGAGAGCCTAGAGGGTAGATCCTTTATAGATATAGGAGGCAGAGCAGGTGCATTCTGGGAGTGCAATCAGCACAGACAAGGACAAGACAGAACCTTTTTCAGACATTGCTGAGCATTCTGGGTGGACAGACAGAGGAAAAGTCAGGGAGAGGTGGATCATGTCCTGACCATCTGAACACAGGCTACAAAGCATGGGCTCCATGTCAGGGCAGTGGGAGCCAGTGGAAGGCTGTGAGCAAGCCAAGCATGGTGGTACATGTCTGTAATTCCAGAACTCAGAAGGCTGAAGCAGGAGGATCACTGTGAGTTCATCTAGCTAGGGCTATATAGCAAGAACTTGTCTATAAACAAACAAACAAATAAAAATGTTGTGAATAGGAGGGTAATGTGGCCATGCACACTTTTGAAAAAGCCCACCCTTGCCAGGCATGGTGGTTATACATCTGTCATCCCAGCATTCGAGAGGCAAAGGCAGAAAATCATAAAGCCAACCAGCCTGGCTGGGGTGTGCTGTTAAGGCCTTGGGGGAATTAAGAGAGGGAGAAAAGGACGAGAGAGAGAGAGAGAGAGAGAGAGAGAGAGAGAGAGAGAGAAATTCCAGCTGCAAGAGTAGTGCAGAGAGAACAGCTGGAAGGCGCCAGTTGCTGCATAGTGTCCACCACACTGGAGGAATTCTATGATGAGCACCCTGAACAACTTTGTCCTGTGGAGCAATAGCTCCGGTTTGGCCGACTATCCTCCCACAACTGGACTGAGGCCCGCTGACTGGACAAGTGAGCAGGCAGGCACAAGAGACACACATGTGGCTGCTGTGAGTGTAGTCACAGAGGCTGCCGCCATGCTGATGAGTCAGTGGACTGTGTCCTGTGCCAGTGCTGCTTCCTGGGATTGGGATTCAGGGAAAAGCAGGGTGTGAGGGAGCAGACAGGGTGCTGCCCTAGCCCTTGGGATGGCTGCAGGGGAGAAAGCCCAGCCAGCTTGCTTCTTCCCTCAGCTTCCACCCAGTGGAACAGCCTTGGGCAGCTGCTTCTCTACAAAGAGCCTGGGACAAAGGTTAGCACCTCCAGGGCACATTGTCAGGCCTTGTCCCTATTCCTCTTAACCTTTTATTGCAGGCCTTAGCACCCAGGGGTGACCCTGCGTTTCCTTCCTCTCTAACATAATGGGCCACTGGCTTCCAGCTGTCCCTGCTTGAAGACCCTAAGGCCTTCTTGGTCCTGACCCCCTGGGTAGAACTAGAGCCTCCTGCAGCCTCCTGCAGCCAGCAGATTCCCCCTCTGCCACTGGATCCTCAGGGAGATGTCAATAACTGCCCTTCTGCTACAGCCCTGGGCTTCCTCAAAGGAATGAAGAACCTTCTAGGTGGGGAGTCGCAATTTTGCAGGTAAGGGCTAGCTGAGGCTACGCAGAATGTAGCTCTGAGGCCCAGCAGGTCCAGAAGGCCAGGGGAGCCTTCTTTGGCTATTTCTATGGCTATATTCCAGGAGCCTACATGGATGGGTGGGGTGGCTTTGTAAAAGAGAAGGCTAGGTATTGGCCCTAGTTCTAGAGAGGGAAGGTTGCTGGCACCCCCATGGTCATCTTCCATCAAAGGACCCAGTCAGAGTGTGCATCACTGGCTCAGGCATGCTGCTCCCTCATCCCTGTTGGAGGTTGGTGGGACATCTGTAGTGAGGCCAGAACAGCTTCCTTGGGGATACTGGTGTGGGGACAATGATGAGAGAGCAGGTGTCACTAGGGAAATTCCAGACAGAGGGAAAAAGGATGGAGACAGGCAGAAATAATTACTCTATGAGCTGTCCCTTCCCAATGTGGGTGGGTGGAGCTGAAGAGTTGCTGAGTAATGTCCTCAAGGGACAGCCGAAATGAGGAGGATGTGTGACCCATGCTGGGCTCAAAGGCCAGTGAAGTCAGTCCCCTGGCCTCAGCTTCTCCAGTTGTCAAGATGATAGGGTGTTCTCCTGAGGCAAGCTCCTTCCTAAAGACCCAAGTCTTGACTCATTAGATTTCATTCATTCAGTCAGTCAGTCAAGTCACAAAGAGTTGCATGCAGTACCTGGGAGCCTGGAGGTTCCCAGGTACTGCATGCAGGTGCTGATACATAAATGCTTAACACTGTCTAGCAACATCATAGTCTGCAGAAGTCCAGGGACAGAGAGATGTGGGACACAAAAGGATTTGGTCTGTTGAGTAGTAAAAGGGAAGGCTTCTCAGAGAAGACATGTTTTGGGGAAAAGAGTGGGAGAGAAGGGGAAGAATGCTCCAGGCAAAGGCCAGGTAACTGAAGGAGGTATGAGGGAGAAATGTCTTGCAAATGTGACATGTGTTGTGATGACATGCAGGCCTTGCCAGTCCTCCTCATGTCAGATGATGGATGAGGGAGCAGGAACCTTGGTCTCACGTGGAGAACTGGGGGGCTGGTTCACGCAGGCCTGGGCTTGCATTGCACCCAGGGTCTACTACACAGAAGCTACTGAATCGGGGGGGACACTGCCACTTACCAGCCCCTTACCTCAGTTTCCTCATCTGTGCAATGGGGATGATCACTGTTTCTGTGAGTAAAAGATGTGACAGTGCTTTGCAAACTGTAAGTACTTCTGTAATCTGGAGGCATTGTTGGGCAACAACAACTCAGCAGCAGCCTTGACACCCAGGTCACTTCTGCATTGACCTTTTGGGGCGCCATTTCCTGAGGAAAGGCCATGGGAAGCCACATTCACCCAATCATGTTAGTTCTCAGGCACAGGATGGTATTTTGACCTTTTCCATACACTGGGGAGGTTTGTGGGGAGTGTCCCTTTGTTTGAGACTGGCTACTGCTCATTTGAGACCTTGAAACCTGCTTGGGAAACATGGGAAGCAAGAGGCAGATACTGAACTGAATCTGCAGGCTAGACAGGGATTGGGAGAATAGGGGTAGCTCACTTACAATGGGACACCATCTATGGCAAAGCAGGACAGTGAGGCAGCAAGTGAGTGAAGCCAGGAGCCAGGTGGTGACATAATCAAGACCATAAGGATGTGGAGAAAAGATAGAGTGAGACATTAAAGGATGAAGAAGATAGTCTCCCACCAACTTCTACTCCATATCTCAACATCTTTAGCTTTGGTGCCTCTTCAGGGAGGAAGGAAAGAAGGGCTTCATGGCTCCGTGTGACTGTAGATGGAAGCCTCTTTCTAAGCCTGTTTGCCCAATATTATAGTTACTGTAGTAGATTTTGTTGCCCTCAACCCCAGCCTCCTAGGGTCACCTGGCTCTGCCTGGGCATGTCCCCAGTGGTCAGTGACTCAGCTATTCTTTGCCAGAGGGTGGGGCCCACTGGCTGCAGAGCTTTGGTCCCCAGAGGGCTAGTGCCTTCATGTTGGACCAGCAGGCTCTTAGGGCTCAGCCTGGCTCCTGCAGGTCCTCCTTGTCTGTGCTAGTTCCCTCTGTTAACAGCACTACAGTGCCAGTACAGGATTGGGCCCAAGTGCCTCTTTGCACTGAGTAGGTGCCATAATTATTTGTTGAATGGAATTCTTGCGTCTGGTTGGGATTTTCCACTGTAGCCAGAGAACTGCTCCCAGCCTTGCTACAGCCAGACCCCTTCTGAGTCTGCCCTACATGTATGTTCACCATTCCTTCTCTTTCCTCGCCACACCCCATTCCTCCTCACAGACTCCCCTTTAGAATGTTCCTCAGAGCCGCTGCCTCCTTATGGGCCCATGACTGCCTGAGAACTCTGCTGCCCCACCTGCTGTGGGTTTCCTGACCTCTGCCTTCTGTTTATTCCTTGTTTTTCCTTCCCTGCACATGTCTCAGTGGTGTGGCTGAAGAAAACAGGCCCCAAAGCAGAATCTGAGTCCTGCAGAAACCCAGGCTCAGAGAGGTTGTAAGCCTTGCCAATGACTACAGAGCCAATAAATGCCAGAGTCAGCTTTCAAGCCCTGGTGGTCTGGCTTGCAGACCATGCTCTTAACCTTTATTTTACAGTACCTCACGTTCAGTGTTCCAGAAATATCTCCATGGAGACTTTTGGGAGTACTAAATAAGGCCAAATTCTGGATGCTGCTTCATAAACCAGAAAAATATTGTGCAAGCATTAGTCAATTGTGAAGTATTTAGGAAATAGCAAATTATGTTCATTGATAAAGTACTTGCAAATTTCTCCTGAACCTGTTGTTTCCAAACCAACCATAACTGAAAATTTGCTTTTTTCTTTCTTCTCCTCAAATGAACGAATCATGATGGGCTTGTCTTTGGGGTCACTGTTCCTGGTTTAATCCAGACTGCAAGTGTCTCTTTCCTGGAGTCCCTGGGTCCTGTTTGCTCTGGTGTTACAATCAAGGCAGCCTCACAGCAGCCTAGATTACTGGGACAGCCATGGGTCTGCTTCTCACTGCTCTTTTTACTTTGCATCCACCCTCCCCATAGCTGCTTGAAAATTCAATTTGGTTTTTGCCATTCCAGTGAGCCCCCAAAGGGCCTATCTTATAGCCAATGAGATAAGGCAGGAAGTAAAAACTAGGAAGTAGGATTACGGGAAAAAGAACTGGCAAATCTTTTATTATTCACTGATGATACAATTGCATACCTAGGAAACCCGGGAGAATTCACCGAAAGGCAAATATAGCTCATGAGCTTTTTTGCTGGCTGCAAAATAACAATTGACACTTATGCGTGAGGAACCCCTGCCAGCCCTGTCCCAAGTGCTCCCCATGTGCTCCCTTTCTCTCCTCCACTCTCATAGTCCTCATCTTGCAGGCAAGGAAACAAACAAAGGCCTGGGCAGTTCAGAGGCTGGGCCCAAACCAGTAGGTTTGGCTGCTGTGCATGTGTGCTCAACTGCTTTGCCATCAACATCTGTGCTGCATGCCAGTAGTTCCTCCTCATAAAATGTGTTAGGAGGGAAAGAACGGTCGTCACAGCCACCACTGATGCTGGCATTTCGTTGTGTCACCTATGTCCCTAGCAGCTGTCCTCGCCCCCCACACACACCCCGAGTCACACAAAGTCTCTCACAGAGTCATTATCAACTTCTGGCACTTAAGACCACCACCAACAAGGGTCCTAGACTCTACCTAGGAAACAAATGGAAAGGAACATTACAACAGCCCATAAGTCTTGTCTCTTCCCTTGTAAGAACACATTTTGTACACAGTAGCCTGGTTTACAGAGGTGCAACTCTGCCTTCAACAGACACAGCTAGTGTCTTCGTAAAGTTAGAGCCCCATAAGCCAGACATGGTGGCAACAACAGCCCATAAGTCTTGTCTCTTCCCTTGTAAGAACACATTTTGTACACGGTAGCCTGGTTTACAGAGGTGCAACTCTGCCTTCAACAGACACAGCTAGAGCCCCATAAGCCAGACATGGTGGCGTACACCTTTAATCCCAACACTCGGGAGGCAGAGACACGCAGATCTCTGTGAGATCGAGGCCAGCCTGGGAGTTCCAGGTTAGCTGAGGCTACATGGAGGCCCTGTTTCAAAAAGACCAAAAAAAAAGTTAGAGCCCTATTCAGAGGCCATTGACTTACACTTTTGTAATGAAAGACCTGTCTGCAGAGACAAAAGGAGAGAGTACTCTAAAGGAGTATTACAGCCTCTGTTTCTCATCAGAAACCAACTCCGTGTAGCCAGGCTGCCAGGATATGAACAGCAGCAGTGATCTCCAGTGTCTGCTGGATCCCAGAGCAGTGCTGGTGGCACCATCTTGGTTTGCTACTGGAACACATGTATTATGGTTTACCCTGTTATTTGGGAATTTCTCCAGGGCAGAGAGAGTATCTTTTTCCCTTCTAGTCAATTTTAGGACACAAATAATGCACTGAAAGAACCAGGGCCCTTGTTGGCTGATTGACTAGGCTCTGGCCTGTGAATTTTCTGTTCAGAAGTGAGAGAAAACATTTATCAAGCACTTTGAATGTGTGCCCAGCATGCTAGGAACTTCCACAAGTCGTCTTACTTAATCCCCACAATAACCTTATAGAGCAAGTGTTGTAAAATCCACTTTGATGGGAGGAAATTGAGGTTTCCCAAGGTTAAGGAACTCTTGGCAGACTGTATGGCTGCACTCGAACAGCCTGTTGGCTCCAAAGCCCACGACCTTTGCTTCATCCAAGGTAGGACAGCATCACTGCAGTCTCAATTTGCATGGGGTGTGGAGTAAGGTACCTCCTCAGATAGGACAGCAAAGTGACTGTGGTGGGATACTCAGGGGTTGGAGGATGCTGGGTCATGGGGCTGGGGAGAGAGGCAGGACTTCTAAGGATGGGTGCCAATCCTCTGGGATGTCACTAGCTGAACTAGTAGGAGTGCACTGAAGCCCAGTCAGACTGGGATGCTACAGAATGCCTCTGCTCTGAGCCTACAGCATGGGTTGGCCCACTGGGACCAGACCAGT